GTTGAAGGTCACCAGCTTTCTAAACTCAAGTGAATAAGTTTTGAATTATTAATGCACTGAAATGCTTTGACTGCAAATCAGATACAAACAAAATCCGATAATCTTTGTTATGGTAAAGTGACCCTTTTTATCATACCATATGTATTTTGTTCACATAGATTCAGTGAGGCAACAAACCGGTAGACCTTTACGGTGGCCCGTTAGAGCTTTAACAGGAAAATGATTTATTAATGACTGCCACTAATTTATCTGAAAACGAGGCCGCCAATTGCTTATCACATAACGACTAGTTGGTTCACTTCTCATTTAGTCAAAGAAGGTTTATTATTCGGAAGGAATTGAAGAAAGTGGTAAGGACCATAGACAGCTTTTCAGACTCACCAAAAACCTAATGGACCAGAAAGGTGAAATTATCCTACCAAGCTGTAATTCTGAAAAAGATTTGTCAAACAAATTCAGTGATTACTTTCTAGATAAAGTTAGCTCGACCAGGAAAATTAAATCGGTAGTGAACTCTACTGTTGACAATGATATCTCTGTCATGACTGCTGACATTAGATTTGATGGGGAACCATTGACCAAGTTCTCACCAACAACACAGGACGAGTTGCCCGATATCATCATGACCTCGCAATCGAAGTCCCGTGAGCTTGATCCAATGCCTACAGACCTATTAAAGCAATGTATTGAAGCACCGCTTCCTTTGATTACCTCAATCATGAACAAATCATTGGCTGAATCAAAGGTTCCATTGTGTTTCAGGAAGGCACATGTTGGATCATTGTTGAAAAAGCCTAGAATGGACAAGGAGGAGTTGAAAAGCTACCGCCCAGTATCAAATCTGCCTTTTCTGTCTAAGATCTTGGAGAGGGTTGTGTCCCGGCGCTTAGAGGTTCATCTCCATGCAAACAGTCTCCATGACAACTTGTAATCGGCCTACCGCATGGGACACTCCACTGAGACGGCCCTCGTACGTGTACATAATGACATAGGTTATGTATTGGATAACAAGTGCAGAGCGGTGCTTGTCATGCTGGATTTGTCAGCTGCATTTGACGTCATCGACCACGGCATACTTTTATAAACGTCAAGAGTACACCTATGGAGTGACTGATACCGTACTATGCTGGATGCAGTCTTATTTGAGTGAACGACGACAGTGTGTTGCCATCGGATCTACCACCTCACATGGCAAAGTACTAGATTTCGGGATTCCTCAAGGGTCGGTGTTAGGACCACACAAATATTGCCTGTACTCCAAACCGATCGGAGAGATTTGTCGACGCCATAGCCTTCGCTATCGTTGCTATTCTGATGACACACAAATTTACATGGTCATCAAACCACAGGACAGTTGTGATACAATTTCAGAAAATCTGAAAGCTTGTCTGACATATGTCAGTACCTGGATGAACGGCAATATGCTAAAGCTTAATCAGGAAAAGACGAAACTAATCGTCTTTCCCCAAACAGTGGCTCTCCAGCTCAAGGTCGGTGCCAGAACTATTGAGACTGTCCTAGCTGATAAAAACATAGAGGTGTACTTTGATAGTTTACTGAACATGGAGAAACAAGTGAACGCTATTGCAGAATCATGTTACAACCATATCAGGAACATCGGCTGTATCCGACAGTTTCTAACTGCAGATGCATGCAATAGTTTGGTGCATTAACTTGTTACCTCCTGGTTGGATTATGGTAACGCCATGCTCTGTGGTATATCTGACAAACTAACTAGTCGTCTGCAGAGAGTCCAGCACACTGCAGCACGGCTGGTTTACTCGTACTTGAAAGAGAGAGCAAATCACATCTGTGCTATATTCATTGCTGAACGATACAGGTCGCAGTACAACATGTTGGTGTACACATACAAGGCACTGAATGGAACAGCTCCCCAGTACCTACATGAGCTTGTTACCTTGTATCAGCCGTCACGATCACTGCGGTCAGAGTCAGAATCATTGTTGTGTGTCCCAAAATCTCGTACTGTGACCTATGGAAACCGGAGCTTTGGGAGGGTTTCGGCCACGTTGTGGAATTGCTTACCATCTGCTATTAGAAAGCCAAATACCCTGGCCAAATTAAAGAAAGACATCAAAACTCACCTCTTATTGTCTGAATTTAGGCTCTTTGCAAAGACTTCATGTAAATGAGCACATTGCGATGATTATCTGCTTGCTTAATGTATAAAAGTTAATGAAAACCTTTGTTTTTGTTTCACAATTATAACTAATACTATTATCCATATGTTGTAAATTATATAGGGCGCTATATAAATGTTGTAAATTATTTATTTAAAGCCAATTTGCGCGAGATATACCGTATATAAAATAGTATGCAAGTCATATCTAACAAAGAACACTTTTCTGTGGCCAAAGGAACAAAGGACACGATTTTCTTTACAGCATGAACTTACTAAAGCAGATGTGAATTCATTGCTCTGGAAGGGTACCCACATTTCCTTTTTGTATATCTACTCGTAACAGGAACCGTTACACCATAAGGTGCCAAAACTAACCCAGTGGTCGCAAGTGATGCATCAGAAAATGATCGCAATGCAATGATACTAGGGTTGTCTTATTTTTGTAACCGGTTACTCGAACAATCTACCGATCGAGTAACCGGTTAATCGGTCTATTTGGTAGTAAAATAATAAACATCAACAAATACATTATATGTTTGGAAAATGTTCTATCTAAAGCGTATATTAATTAGCATGATAGTTTACTCGTGTATTTCAAGGTTAACACAGGAAATAGTCGCATGTAACCTCAGTAAGTATGTTTCATGGACAACGAATGTCGGAATGCAGTAAGACGGATTCAATTACAGTTATCTGTACTCGAAATCATATGCGATAATATTATTTTTTAGAACAAAATTTGCTTGACAAACGTTTTAAGAAATGCTAGCTCATTCAAGAGTGCACTCTTCAGATTATCTTTACATCTTGCATGTAAAGGCGCGTTTTATCTCTTTGTATTCTGGCTTCCTTTTAAAATCTGTACAGATATTTTATGGTGTTGGCAGTATTTACAATAGAGTACAAATTCAGCACTAACATGTCATCCCTGAACATTGTTTCTATTACAAAACTATCCGATTTCGGTCGAATCTATACAAATGCAGATATTGTGTAGGTCTACGCTAGGGAAACATGTGGCTCCCAAAACGGGTAAGTAAATGTCCGACTTTTCGGTTAAGGATTTTGGTAACCGGTTCGTGGTTTTGTCCGAGTAACCGGTTAACCGGCTAACCGTTGACAACCCTCCATAATACATATTACGTACCAAATCTATTACATCGGTTAATATCTAAATGTCAACCAATCAGAACCCGACCTAACACGGACATTTTGTCAAATAAAAAATGTCAACGCAGATCGCAGCAGTGTTCGTAGTGACACTGCACACTTTTGCATAGAAATATTGGACAATGCATTACGAATAATGCAGCAGCCATTTTGTGGAAGATGTTGGCCCTTTCCCATCTTCAAGAACACAATTAAAATATCAATTAAACAACCTTTACTGTGGTCAATAAATCAGCACAGAAATTGTTATAGCCTGAAATACCTCAAAAAATGATAGGCCATGATTTAGATCTGTTCGGAAACTTAACATCGAATATCATTAGTGCCTACATGTATTATATTTAACTGCAGTACACCTCTATTACTATGATACTTGTATCCCTCTGTACAACCACGCATGCTTATACCAGAGACGTATATACTACCGGCTTTATGTCTCTGTTTATACATTAAATCTGTTACCATTGTAAGTCAAAGGAGTTGAGATAAACTATAACAAGAGGCCCAGAGGGCCTGTATCGCTCACCTGGATAATAAAGCAACAATGGGAAATTATTCTTATTGCAAACAATCCCTCCAATGGTACAGAAGAAGAAGTATTTTAAAGAACACCCAACGTTTATACAAAATTGGCCCAAGGATGCTCCAGACCAAATTGAGATGAAATGCCTTAATTTCTATTGGGCTTGCCCCTCTGCCTCCAGGGAGTCCAAACCCACTATGTATACAAAACTGAGTCCCCTTGACGCAAGGATACTCGAGACCAAATAAGGACAAAATCCCTTAATCCCTACGGTAGAAGAAGGATTTCAAAGGTTATACCTCTATTTCCCCTATTGGGCCTCGCTTATAACTACTGGGTCGTCAAGGGCAAGTAGCATTTTAAACAAAAAGTTGATGGACGGACGCTGCGGTATGGCATAAGCTCACCTGGTCATTCCTTCGGACCAGGTGAGCTAAAAATTGAAGTTCGAACAAGATTAAAGTTTGAAAAAGTTTGAAGTTTGCGCAGTAGTTTCTTTATAAACAAGCCTAAATATACCACAACCCCCTAAAATCAGTGTTCGTACTCATGGCAATGGGTAATAGTATACCCCTAACACGATTTCTTACCCGGGTGAGAAATGGTGCAGGGATGAGAAATCGTGTTGCGAACTCAGCAATTTTAGCACGATTTCTCACCTGGGTGAGAAATCGTGTCAGGGTGAGAAATCGTGCCGTAACAATTGTATATGTTATGTCTTCTCTCCGATGCGTTGTAAAATACAAGGAATAAAGAATCTGAATGGAAAAACAATCATATGATGCAGGGACAAAATTTTACTTTGTTTGTCTGTCTGCAACTACACAACCTCCAATGTTTCTCCTCTGTACGTCTAGTGATTATTTTATATACAAATAGTATACTCAAACGTATGTCCGTAACATATTTATTGATAGTAATGTGCCTTTCAAGAGGTTAAATTTATCACGGATCTTATTATGAAATGGCGGTTTCTGTTCAGAGATTAGCCCTTTCAACCCTATGTAACTTTAGTAGACTCTACCATGCATTGATCTGGATAAGTCCAGTATGGTCTACAGTGGTGAAAGGGTTAGACTATATAGAAATAGCGTTTTTTTTTCATTACAGTTGCTAAAGCAGTTACAGGTTTAGGTAGGTAGACATGCACAACAACACACATACCTTAAGTTTGTAAGCCATATGAATACCGGACGGCCCTGCGCCCACAATGGCTATTTTGTCTTTCAGTGACTTTGGTCCTGGGATTTTTGAAGGATGCTTCTCTACTTGTAAGACATGAACTGTAGAAGAGAACAAAGCGTCACATAGATGTTTAAATTCATACAAAAGGCGTAAAGCTTAAAGGTATAAATATAGTGTATTTAAAGTAAATAAATATTAATATAAACTTTCACATTATATTAATATAATAATAATATTTTCACCCATTGTTTCTTATTTCTCATTATCTAATGGAATTAAAAAATTAACTAAGTTTTATCAAGATATTCATGCCAGTATTCTTTTTTTTATTATTAAAATGATCCAAGAATATTTTTTTTTCTTAGTTTTGGTCTCGTTTTTCAATAAGGAATGGATACATTACAGTACCAACATGATAATGGGAGTTATCCCCCCTTCCATAATTCCTTCCGAACACCATATACTTACATTGTACTTTTTGTAAAAAAAATTTTTTGCATAACAAATTTATGATTAATGCCTGTTGTTTAATCATTTTGATATCTTGATATATTTTTTGTAACGGTAGGTGAAACAAAAAGGAGAAATACCTCATAATGAATAGAAATTATCCCAAAGTAATTGTTGGCATTTATCTTTCATATAAAAAGTTTCCATATCAAAATTTATGCGTACGATCAAAACTATTATACTTTTATAGTAAGTAATTGTATTTGCAGTTAGTGATTTTTAAAACAATAAATAGAATATTGTTTACCGGAATTAAAAATACTTTATTCAAATAAAGCTTAGTCTAAGAGCATTTTTTTCGGAATACATGTGAACATTAAAAGAAATAAACTGTCATGACTGGAATTCGACATATGCTATACGGCATTAACGTACGGAAGGTCAAAGAAAGCAGGGTTTCTAATGAAGCATGTTGATGAGCATTTTGGACAAGTTTTATGGTAGCCATCATGACCTCATGGAGCAATATGCTAATTCTTCGTGTGATATGAAGGTTCAACCATGTATTTGACTATTGTCATTAAACTGCCTTGTGGTGTTGATGTCATTAAACGAAATCTCGATTTGAGAATGTTACATTTCTTAGACCTGACCTAGATTCGCATGACGGATGTCTTCAATGAAACAGGACGCTTAACCTTCTGGAACACCTGGTCCTATTCTCCTTGTACTCTTTTAAATATCGATTTGAGTCCGAATTATGGTTTTGTTGATTAAAGTATTCTCAGGTTGTTTATGTACGGTGCTGTACATACCTACCTAGTAACGGATCGGTGCCCTGTGGTGTCGTCTGCCCTCTGCCATCCTTAAAAAAATCAATGATTCACAATCTATCAACATGTATCATCTGATGCCAGTGTCTATAGAAATACAAAAATGTACCGTCTGCTGTCAATGGCCGTGAAGGTAAATAATTATGTAACGTCTGCGGTATATGGCGATATGACGTGACTATCAATAATCCATTGTTAAGATAGCATTAAGTTATTAAATATAATTTAATTCGAGTTGTCATACCTTTTTAATATGTATGTTATTTACTGCCAGTGGTCATACAGTGTTAATTATGTATTATTGACTGTCAGACGCCAAGCAAAACTAGTTGGTATGGTCTATTTTAAGCAATCATACAAAACAAAAAAATATAATTTACTTCCAGTGGTCATAAAAATAATATGTATCAAAGTACTTCAAAATCAATACTAATGATGTACTTGCAGTTGCCAAAAACAATTATTGAATAACATGTACTTCAGCGTTCATACAAAACCAATATGTATCATGCACATTCAGAGGTCGTACAAAATCGATACATATCATGATGATGTAGTTCCAGTGGTCATACAAAACTAATATTAATCATGTACTTCCCGTGGTCATACAAAATCAATATGTTTCATATACTCCCAGGGGTGTATACGTATTATGTAGTTTCAGTTGTCATACAAAATCATTATTGAATCATATACATTCAGTTGTCATACATAATCAATATTGAATCATGTACTTCCAGCAGTCATACAAAACCAATTTGTATCATGTACATTCAGAGGTCATACAAAACCATTATGTACCATGTACTTCAAGTGGCCATATACAATCAATATTTATAACGGAGTTCAAGTGGTGACACTGGAAGTACATGATTCAATATTGATTGTGTATGACCACTGGAAGTATATGATTCAATATTGATTGTGTTTGACCACTGGAAGTACATGATTCCATATTCATTGAGTATGACCACTGGAAGTACATGATTCAAAATTGATTGGGGATGACCACTGGAAGTACATGATTCAATATTTATTGTGTATGACCACTTGAAGTACATGATTCAATATTGATTGTGTATGACCTCTGGAAGTACATGATTCAATATTGATTGTGTTTGACCACTGGAAGTACATGACTCAATATTGATTGTGTATGACCACTGGAAGTATATGATTCAATATTGATTGTGTTTGACCACTGGAAGTACATGACTCAATATTGATTGTGTATGACCACTGGAAGTTCATGATTCAATATTGATTGTGTATGACCACTAGAAGTACATGATTCAATATTGATTGTATATGACCACTGGAAGTACATGATTCAATATTAATTGTGTATGACCACTGGAAGTACATGATTCAAAATTGATTGGGTATGACCACTGGAAGTACATGATTCAATATTAATTGTGTATGACCACTGGAAGTACATGATTCGATATTGATTGTGTTTGACCACTGGAAGTACATGATTCCATATTCATTGAGTATGACCACTGGAAGTACATGATTCAAAATTGATTGGGTATGACCACTGGAAGTACATTATTCAATATTGATTGTGTATGACCACTGGAAGTTCATGATTCAATATTGATTGTGTATGACCACTAGAAGTACATGATTCAATGTTGATTGTGTATGACCACTGGAAGTACATGACTCAATATTGATTGTGTATGACCACTGGAAGTATATGATTCAATATTGATTGTGTTTGACCACTGGAAGTACATGATTCCATATTCATTGAGTATGACCACTGGAAGTACATGATTCAAAATTGATTGGGTATGACCACTGGAAGTACATTATTCAATATTGATTGTGTATGACCACTGGAAGTTCATGATTCAATATTGATTGTGTATGACCACTAGAAGTACATGATTCAATATTGATTGTGTATGACCCCTGGAAGTACATGATTCAATATTGATTGTGTATGACCACTGGAAGTACACAATCAATATTGAATCATGTACTTCCAGTGGTCTTAAAAATCTTAGTAGTCGCATATATTGAGTTTGTACTAGATACGTTCAATGGTCATTCAATATGTCTTATTATCTTCTAGTGCCGGAGGTCAAACAAGGTCAATATTTCTCATCATTCCCCCTGTGAAAAAACTACTAGATAAAGGTATCAATATATATCAGTAATTGTTATACATTGCTGATTTACATTTCATTATAGCTACATGTTTACCATTTACTGTCAGACTTCATACAATGTCTATATTAATTTTCTACTAATGCTGGACACAACAAATCATAATTTATCTTCTCCAGTGGACAGAATATGTAAATATCAACAACAGATGTTCCCTCATTGGGATATTAATTTGTAAGACCAGGGTTGGCATTACGTCATAGTTACAGATAGTATTATACAATATAGCTTTCTCGGTTCCGCATATATTAAATATTCAACACATGTGAAAAGAAAGGGTTAAAAATGAAAATAATCATACTGTAATATCGGAACACATACTACTTCTAAGAAAGAATGTTCCTTGTCGTGCTTAAAATGACTCCAAATTCCTTTTTTCTTTTTCAAACATAGATTTTTTTTTTATTTCCATGTCCTTTAATCATGATAATTTTAATCGAATTTTAAAAAATATTGAAGTTTAATATAACAAAAAAAGTTTGTTTACCTGTATGAGTGTAAGTATCAGCAGCGCTACTTTCCATTTTCCCACCATGGTGGTTGATGTCAGGGCGGACGATTAAGATGAAATAGGGTCTTTTGTATAGCCAGATTTTTTTTGTATGGAGGCACAGTTAGGAGTAGTCTAAATAGATTGTTCCATCAGACCTATGTTTTTGTACCATCGTGCAATGGGGTGGTAATTTGTATGGTTAAATAAGGTTTTCGAGACCGATTCATATAATGAATTGTATTTTGTAATTAATAACAAGTAGTTATATAATTATATTCTTAACGTATTATAATGTGAGTATTACTATATACTTTATCCTATTTCCATTCAATATTGCCGTTCAAGAAAAACGATATAGCACACGTACAATAAACATGCAAATGAGTCTTGTCACCGTGAGACACAGGTCATATTCCTACGCACTACAACTTCTACGTTTGTAAACAAAATGGCTAACCGAATTATTGTTTGCATTGATAGCAGAGGCAGGGGCACTGGGAGAATAAAATAAACAAAAGAGTTTAATAAATGTAATATTATATAAACATGAGTGTTAGCTTCACAAAAAATCAACACCTGCATGTTCAAATTCCACTTGAACTTCTCCGACATACACACAATAAATGGCGAACACGTGTAACCGGTCAGCTTCATCAGTGTTTCAATTTCATGGCGGATTCCACAGTATATTTTCTGGCTCAGTGACAGGCGGAAACATCGAGGTTCACATTCACCAACAACCCTCTCCAAAGAAATGCGCTTGTGTTATAGAGAGTGACAATCACTCCAGTCCCTGTAAACTTTTAAAAGATGCAGACTTCGACGTGTATTGTGATGACCTTTAAATTGACAGTGCACGCGCCGTTGTGCCAAATATGTGACGTCACTGCTATTTTCTTAAACGCCAATCGTATAAAAAAAAATGGTCGGTATTAAATAATCTAGAGATGTAAGTTAATTGTTGGTGTTTGAAGGTTAATGAAACCTTTCTCGAGGTCAAGCATGTGCTCAAAATAACTTTCTTGTACCTCGCTGTACTCTATAATCATGTTACTTTGTCTAACAGGTCATTTTGTAAAATCCGAAAACGAAAATGATTGAAGGTAGCTCTGAACTAAGGAGAACGAGACTTTCGATACACCACGGCATCTCACTCTACGGTAGTTGGCATTACGTAAAGTACTTAAACGTTGACCCTTACACGCTACCGTAGATGTTTTGTAAAGTAAATAATATACAATTAATTACAAAATAGGACTGTGAACCGGTACAGAGTGAAACCATTGGATGACTGATCAACTAGAACCATCTAATTTACTACGAGCTAGCATGTCATCTATCATTTCACAGTGGGAGGTCAAGCATGGATAAAATCAACATTTGTTTTAGAAAAAAAGTTTATATCTGTGAAATCACAGTGGTACGACAAACATGTATACAATCAACAACTGCCATAGAGAAATAGCTTATATCTGTGATAACACAGCAGGAGGACAGCCATGCATTTAGTCAACAATTGTTTTCAGAGAAATAACATTTCTATGAGATCACAGAGACAGGATGTGCATGTCTTAAATTACGCAATGGTAGCATGATTTATGAACATTTGAACAAATGAGGTGGGCCAAGTGTGGTGTTAGTGTGAGCCAGATTTGTTGTATTATAATCATTTGTCATTTTCCTGAACCTAGATCCTGCTTCTTCGCTCCTGATGTGGTTTTCAAAATAGTTTGTAACGTAACTATATATGTTCGGCTTGTGTGTTAACACTATCACACTATTGTTGTGCTGTTGTTGAGGATACTGCTTTTATGAGTTGATATAACTTGACCACAGCCCTAAATGCAATAAGTTAGGTTAAAAACGGTATCAGAAAAATAACACATTTATGTACTTGTTATAGATATATTATAAATTATAAATAACATTTCTGTGACATCAGTGGTAGTACAACTATGTTTGGTATCAATGCCAATGACAATGACAAGTTTTATTCTTGAAAACTGGTTACAATGTAGAGAGTTTACAACCACAGAAACAACATTTCTATGAATATTATAGATATTATATAAATTATCAATAACATTTCTGTGACTTCACAGTGGTGGCATAACAGCCATGGTTGGTATCAGAGAAATAACATTTTCATGTATATTGTAGATATATTATAAAACGATAAATGCTATTTTTGTGACATCACTTCTGTTATGACAGTGGTAGTTATCATTTCCTGGGTATGATAAGGTTATGACTGACATACATGACTTAAAGAATTCTACGATACCCCATCGACAACTATGGTTATTGTGCATATGGCCAGAATATTTTAAATATGGGGCGACCATTTGACAAAACCAACGTCAAAATTGTATAAGAACTCGTTCATCTCAAAATCATCAGCAGAAAAGAATTACAAAATGACAAAAAGAAAAAAAACACGTGAGGGTTTAAATATCAAAACTTAATTAAAATAAATGCAAATAAATGCTTTAAATAGGTCATGTCGGTGAATGGAATCAAAGTATTTAAACAGACCAAATTCTATAATATATTTAACTGTATACCACAATGGACTCGTTCAGATGAATGTATGGCGGAGTCTACTCAAGTTACCTAGGGGTGAACGAGTAAAGAAATGACCCAAAGTCTACTGAAGTGAAAGGGTTTTCATGTCCAATATATGGAAGTAGTTATCACGGTTGTTCTAAAATCTGAACGTTTTATAAAAATGTGTTCAACTGTACACGGCGAGTCACATGCGTGGCATGTTGGTAGATCTCCAATGTTTGGCCGATAAGCAACACCGAGATTAAAATGGCCAGTACGGAGCCGAGAGAGGACAACCTCCTCTCTGCGATGTCCCCGACAGGGCCGACAAGGCTACTACAGTGGTAAGGGAGCTGTCGATGATATTAACAAAAGTATGGGTTAATCAGATATTGTCAAATTTATCATCAATATTTGTTTGTTGAAAAGGGTATAAAATATGTCTTGTAATAATAACACTTATACATTTTACGTAGCCTTCGATTTTTCAACACAGCATGAGATAAGATTGACCATATGCAAATGTTTAATCTGTCAACTATCTGTCTTAATTAGTTTAGGTTTCGGAAAACTTTGAAAAAAGAACTTTTTTTTAATTTAGTACAATTTAGTCAATGATGAACAAATAATGTCAAATGGAGCATGCTTCCTTTCTTTGACTTTCTGCATCGAAAAACAATTTTGTGCAAGCTTCTTCTTCATTTCGTATATCTGGTAATTCATTTATACTGTACTTGATTTGTCATAGTCCTTTTTAATGTTTTCCATTGATCTCTTTTCAATAAGATTAACCGAGTAAATCCTCGAGGAAAGACAGGACCTGCTGTGTCCCACCACACTTCGTTAGAGGCGAGTTAAATTGTGTCGGCCCTCTCTCGAAAGGAAGAGTTTTCTTCTGCGTCCTCTACAAAGTGGACATTGAAAGAAACCAAAATTGACCCGCTGCCCCTATCACAACACTTGAGATCTGTGTTTTTCTTACCCACTCCTTTCCGTTAGGCGGTGTACCCAAGCACCCCCATAGTACCTAATCTGGTGCTAGGACGTCGAACTCAAAACAAAGATCCCACGACAGACCGTGTCTCCAGGTAGATTCCCGTGCCCCCCTGTGAACATGTACATAGGGTATATAGGGAAAGACAAAACTGACGCATGCGTCGGCTGGCTCTAATGTCGTGGCTGTAAAGTCATATAGTCTGGTAAAATATACTCTCTAGAACCACTGATGTTTTAGACAGTTGAAGTTATGCAGATTTCACACGTTATATAAAGAACACATTCTGCAATCTACTTTCTGTTTGCCGTAACGAATTCACGGTAAACATGTACGAGTTGTCTCCCTTTATAAAAAAAACTCTTTACAGAAATCCGATTTTACACAGTCATGCTACATGTATGCTGACTACGAATGGACAAGATTAAGAGTGGGATACTGCATGTTTACTGAAAAAACAACAACTTTTAAATGGTAACTCCACATCAGACAGATGACCATAAGGAAGTGCATTAGGGCTAAAAAGAAATGACGAACTAACTCGAAGTTTTGAGATGTTAGCTCAAACTTTCCAAATTTAAACTCAAAATTTTACAAAATAACATCTCGAAACCGCGTGAAATGGCGGTTTATTTCCACGAAAATAGAAAATAAAATAAAAAAAAGTTATTCACTTCGCCTTATATTATTACGCACTTAAATGAAAGTCAAACTAAAATATATCTTTTATATTTAGTTCCGGTAAATTGAACTATTTTAAACACCATCGGTTTTCGAGATGTGACGTTGTTGTCAGTAACACCACTGCGTGTGCATTCCATGATGGAAAACATTCACATAACAAAAACACACAAAACTGGTCGATGATTTATTTGAATGTTACTTTTAGGTTTAATGTATAAACATATCAATAATTACAATGTTAAAACATAAACACTATACACTGATGTAAATAAATAGCATGTATATATATATATATATATATATATATTCACTGGAATTCTTTTTCATAAAGTGATCACAATAAAATAAATGGAATTATCATTGAATACCTCAATTAACTCATCTGTTATATAGTAATTTATAAAATGAGAAACGGAATGTTAAGTTTGTAAATATTAAGTTTTATTGCGACATATATTCTTCACAAATATACAAAACAGTTGGCAGCTTATACGGATATGATTTTTAATGTGAATGTATCTAAGCCTTTCACAAGAAAGGTTCTTCTGGCCACGTGTTTATGAAACCTTTCTCGTGCTCAAGCATGTGTTCAAAATACCTTTCTTGTACCTCGCTATAATCTATAATCATTTGACACTGACAAACCGGTCATTTTGTAAAATCTGAAAATGAAAATGGTAATTGGCCCTAAGTCTATCAAAACCACATCAAAATAACTGACAAAATGTGACTTTTTATTTGTTTGTTACCGAAACAAGAAATTGTACTTGATCACAGACTCGGAGGTTGAGCATGATAACGGTTTCATATACCGGCCCAGGCGTCTGGATATTTTGAATAATAATGGAATTTTGACGTCATAATATAAGTTCACAAGTATGTGTGTCGTCATCATTAACACATGTACACTTGTAATTTTGATGTAACAGCAGACACAGCAATTAGTTCATGATGTCATTAACACAAAAAAGTATGGCAGATGGCCTTTCGCTTTTAATAGCTGTACAGGAGAATAAGGTTTCCTCTTACGCTGTGAAAACGCAAAATGCCTTAGGAATCAGTTTCTTTATTTTTTCGTATGCATATAAAACAAACAAAATTTACGTTATATGTGACGTATCGCATTGAAAATGAAAACGAAAAAAAATCAATAAATTACTTATAACACATAAAATTAACAAAACGATAAAAATGTAAGTACACTGCATGTAAATTAAATAAAAAAAAATCGTTTGAAATAATATCAAATGTTACTTCATTATATCACCTGAATTAGCACTTTGAATTATTAGAACAACATATATTATTTTACAACAATACTTCATTATCGAACACCACTGGCGAGGGAAATCATTTTACAACATGATATCAACATTCTTTATGATCTTCCTTGAAATAACTATAAAAATAGTACTTTTTAGTATACAACCAAGTGAAGAAAAAACCGATTTTAGAGCATCTGTAAAATTATATAGAACAAATATCACTCTAAGTCCCAATATTTCGGCCTCCTGGCCTTCTTCACGGGCGAAAGTCGGAGATTTCCTATTCCTCCGATAAAGCAAGATGGACGTTACTTGAAACAATCGTTTATGTTCGCCCTTGAAGAAGGTCAGGAGGTAGAAATATTGGAACTTCGAGTGACATTTGTTCGATATTCTAATGTTTTCCCCTTTGGAAATCATCTGTTATTTTATATATAAAATTATAGTTTTATTCTTTTCTGTGAAAAAATAAGGAATTTCAATATTATATTTAAATAGTTGATAATGAATATTTATATTCCGTTACTACAAGGAAATTGTCTAAGTAATAAGTTGTTATACTCGACAACACTCTTAACGGACTCAAAACTCACAGACGACCCTATATACCACATATTGTGTGCCCCCTGTTTCTCAAATATATCCCATAATATCCCTGATGCCATATCAGAGACGGAATATCTCGGAAAGTAGCTCCATTTGATTCGATGTATTATTTTTATTTTAGTGGATCGTTCTACGTTCAAAATATGATCCTTTAACTTCTGGGTCAGCGTTTGCCAAGGTGAACTTCGTTTCGAGAATTGATAATAGACGGATGACTGTATGTACTTTCCGTCCGGACCGTCCGTAAACAACCCGTTAGTATAGTTTTCTCCAGTGATGTAATTTAGAGAGGAATAGGAATCCCTGTGTACCCAGACAGAGTTATTCTCCTTGCTGTTCATGTTGAACGCGTAGTAATCCTGAGGCGACTTACCCCTGTTAACTCCATAGTCAGTATCCGCCAAAGTTGTTGTATAGTAATAATTGAATGTCCGTCTGAAAAGTTCCCGAACATCGGGATCAAATTTGATGACATTCGACATAAATTTCATCGTGGGACTGGTTATAATAAAATCAAATCTTTCCTTACGCAGGTTGCCACAATCCCGATAAATTACAAGGAATCCGTTTCTCAGACGTAACACTTTCGTTACTGGACTTGATAATTTGACATTTAAGTTAGTTATTCTGGATATTTCCGCCCACAAAAACTGAAATCCTTTGCTTAAAATTTTCACTACACTTTTAACTTCCGGTAATGGCGGTTTGACTATTTCCTCAAGGAATCTTGGTGTCATCCACATCATTCCATACAGGGTGGATATTTCGTCCACGTGACCATATCCTTGGGCGGTCATGGCACTCATAAACATTCCTTTTAGTGCTTCTATTTGATGAACCTTGAGAAAGTCGAGAAAAGTCATATTAATCTTTGACAGTATTGCGTCACAGGGGCGTGGCATCAGCTCCCCCTCATAGGTCCCGAACATTCCAATATGAAGTCCTAAGTATTTACGGATTGCTTGCTGAAGGATGCCTGCTGCTACGGTTGTGTTGGTTATATCTGGACGAAGCCTCATCAGGACACGGATGCTATTTTGTAGACTTGTTATAGGTACTGTAAAACAATAATTCGTATAAAAATAATAAATTGGCTCGTTATTATTTTTCATTAATAGGCAAAAACATATTAGATACTGTTAAGTATTGATAAAATGAATATATATACCTCACTTGTAACATTTCAAATCAACAGTAAATTAAACGACTTAAGGACGTCCCACCCTTCGCAATACACATGTTTTTCTTGTCGTATTTTCGTGTCGTCATTTCCGTATTGCGTATCGGGCATTCCATTACCGTAGTATAAATTATAATATTTACATTTGCATGGCATTGTCACTATATAGCCTCTTTGAAAGCTGTGTCGTTTATGGGACTTTAATTACCATGCATCACGAGACATTGATTGATTGATAGGTTTTACGTCCGCTTCACTACCGGATGTATCGGTTATCCAGCAGACGATGCTTCACGAGACACAATTCTTAGCGTATTAATACAACACTGAACGGAACTACAATATCCAATATAATTCAACATGACGGCTGCTGAAATATCGCTGGGCATTGTGAGATTTGACAATGTCATTGTAAATTTATGTGCAAAATAAAAAATAAAATAAAAAACACTTTTATTACAACGAAAACAAGACCAAGGTCTGCAATATCGTATAGAATGCACATCGGTTGAAATCACCAATGCCGGCAATGGAAACAATTTTAACGCTCATGCAATTTATCAGAGATATCGTCTGTTACACTGCACTGATTAGTCCGAATTATTCTGAAGTTTTATCAACTTTTTTCATATCGGTCTGTCGTCGATTAACGTCAGAACTCCTCCCCTCTATAATATGCGGGAAATATGCGACCCGCGCCCGGAGCGCACTTCAAACTGATATTTTAGAAACAAATCGTCACTTTCACACACGGTGTTCATTGTATTTATTCATGCGCGAAATTTGTTCCAGGGAAAATCGGACCAATTTCAAATCTAACTTTCAGCTCAGAGTTCTATTGATAAACTTAAATCACCCTATAGACATATCATACGCAATTGTATTGATACTGAATTGTGGAATAAAATTGAAGTGTTTGTTAAAATTTCAAAGTACTACTTTGTTTGCCAACAGCACGCGACAATACGCTGTTCAACGCGACAATACGCTGTTCAAACTATTGAACGAAATTGTGTGGACTGTCGATTAATTTTTAATTTTAATTTTAAATATATAAATTATAAGTTAAAAAAGAACATAAGAGGCAGAGAAAATGTAAATATAAGTATTGAACTGTTTTTGTATGGTATTTATGATCTATTTGAATGACACAGCTTTGTAAGCAAACAAATCATAATGCGCTAGCGCGCATTATGTTGTTTGCTTGCAAAGCTGTGTCATTCAAATAGATCATAAATACCATACAAAAACAGTTCAATGCTTAAGTAACACCGGCTAAACAATGGTACACGTGCGTGACGATGATATGTCAACACGCGATGTCGAGACTTAACTTGGAAATGTGTAATCACACGTACTTCAGAAATAAAGCTTATGATACAAAGACATTAATTAACTCACGTTAACCCAGTTTATCGGAATGCTTAAATTTTCATAAAAACCTTTTTACATAGTGACATAACCATTATGTGAAACTTTCATTGAATTCTGCTGTCTAACTGCGAAAGGGTGGAGCCTCCTTAAGAGAATTACTTGTGCTATATTAGCGACATTCATACTTAACAGCGAAGAAAACATTTAGTTATCACTTTGATCTTTCTCACTTATAGCTTATCAATCAAAATTGATAAACAACGGATATGCAACTCCGGTGACTTGCGAATTTCATCTTAGAAGATGTAAAAATGTAGTTTAGTTTATTTTTCAAAACAAACTTTGAGCATATATTAATAAATTGACATATCTTAATATATGTTTATAAATTAATGTTTATTAAACAGAAACATTTCCGTACAGATATTAAACACTAATGTTGTTTGATTTATTCACATAACATATGTAGTACTTAATACTAACATGATTGAAGATAAATGAATTGGAGAAAGAAACAAGTACGCTCTTATAAATCTGTTACCTTTCATCGTAACCAACATTAACAACTATTCCGTCTTTTCGTATTGCAGAGTTATCTGCTCTTTTGAGCAGGTATTTATTGTTACGTCATTAGTTTGTGTGTGAGAAAATTATGTCGTTTTCTCAAAAAAGGATGACGTTACTCTCACAAACAAATGAGTAACTATCAATACATGCTATCAAGAGCAGATGACTCTGCAATACGAAAAGACGGAATAGCTTTGGGATAATGACATGAATAGGGATATCAAGAAGAGAGTTTGGGAAATGCAGTGTAAAATAAGTTACATGTACAAAATATCTTATAATCAAGAATGCTTCTGTTGCGTCACCGTTAGAACACTTTAAGGTTTACCGTTGATTAACAGATTATTTCGAGAAAAGTATATATATGTATATAAATAAAATCGTACATAAACAAGCTGCATTATAATGCTAATATAAAATATAATTATGATAAATCATGTGGATGGTCCTTCCCTACGCAGATAGTCGTTCTGATAGACTGTTAACATCCCATACGTTGTTACCTATCAATAAAAAGTAACTAATACACTAGTGTGTGTCCTGTCTGCTTATTCCGTCTGCGTATTGCAGAGTTATCTTCTCTTGGGAGCAGGTATTGATTGTTACGTCACTTGTTTGTGAGAGTAACGTCATCAATGTTTGAGAAAACTACGTAATTTTCTCACACAAACAAATGACTTAACAATCAATTCCTGCTCCCAAGAGAAGGTAACTCTGCAATATGCAAAGACGGAATAACACCGGTCAGTATTCAGTGTTTGTTTGCTGTAGTAAGTCGTGAGTTTTGACAGCAGAAATTCTGTTTTCCCGTGAAGACCGCAATGCAATGAAATTTGTCCCTATCACATTTTTTGTATAATAACCACTATGATAAATAATACAATCCTCATGACACATCATGAAACTGCAACGCCCATTCACGACAAGAAGTTAAAAGTCAAGTGAAATAGCAACGTTTAAGATTTGAGGTGGTCAGGTTAATGCAGTCGTGTTTGCAGACAATTTCACAGCATAATTTGCATTTCTGGTTTGTGTACAAAAATGCTTGGTATCGTTGGACAGATGAACAGATGCAATTGCCTGATAAGGTGCCAATAAAGAAGCAAATGTTTAAACACGATCGCTGTCCAACTTCAAGACAAATGTTAGAATATTGAAATGGCATTGAAGTTTTTCGAACATATGGTAATGTCCCCTTCGTTTTAGTTTTGATTATGCATGTATCTTTGCCAGTTAGAGCGACATGCTAATCCTGGTCTAGCTCCATTGTGTTTTCACTATCGGACTACTGTTAGTGATTTGTTGTTTACTTATCTTCAATATTTCATTTAAATATTCCGAGCTATATTCAGAGCTGTAGTCATGTCGGGAAAAACATCCGGTGGATTATAACAGCGTTACGACGATCTAAAATTAATATTACTATTTGCTTTCGTTTCATTATGTTTCAAACCTTTACCTGATATAAAATACCTGTAAGATAACGACACGTTAAACACTGGTGACATCTGTCACCATTCGAATCGGGAACCCTTCACGTCAAAGGTTAAGGTGGATAATCTGACACATGAAACGGAATGTTGACAGATTGCGTAACTGGAATATTTTCGTTTTGGTTTAGTCTATTCAGCTGTATTAAGGAGGTAATCACATGCAAAACGTGATGTACATGGTTTTCTGTTGACACACCCGGCATGCCTCCGTAAGATATTTGGGGGTTGGTTTTTCCCACGTTTACATGCATTGTATCTCTATTCCTCGTACCACGGTCAACAACTTTAACTACGACTTAAACACGTTTTCACCTCCATTACAACAATAGTAATAAATCATTACTGAAACGCCAAACATTAAACAGTCGATTGTATCAGCAAATGAAATTAAGGGGAGATTACTGTATACATGTATAACTGTTCTGGAATCCCCTTGTGTTTTCCATACAGGGATCTTTTATGTACATCATATGTTTTTCAGATACTGAACGAAACATTCAGACTATGTTCGGAATAACTTCCCTATTGTTCCACATATATAAAATAATCTGGAAAACCACAAATCATTCTAATAAATAGCATTTTAAAGTAAAAGTATGTAGGGATTTCGAACAATCGTTAAAAACATTTCATTATAAATCTAAAATAAATCAGCCATGGTAGGATAACATATAGATCGGCAGTTGTACTATTTGATACTGTTGTGCTTATATACCACAAAATTGTTTCGAAATTGATATAAAATTTCTATGGGAGTTTGTTCAATTAATGCTTTGAGCGTTTGCAGTATTCTATATTGTATAACCTACTTGGGTGCTTCTTGTTGTTGACCCATACGGTTGGACTTGGCATGGGGAGGAGATGTCCAGCGTCGAACTCGTTGACCAGTCTATAAATCTCTGTATAGTCGGGTTGTGTATATACGGTACCCATCTCATGAGGTACGCCCCGGTGGTACAGAGTTCTCGACTTCCCTCCAATGTAACGGTTCCTCTCAAAAACAGTCACGTTCGTGTAGCCCTCCTTCTGAAAACAAAAACAGTTACCTTCATGTAATCCTTTAATTTGAAATTTATGTACTATCACATAAGCACTAAAATGTGTATGTTCCAGGTAATATGAATGAAAAAAAGGGTACATTGGTAGGGATGTATTTCTATATTTATTATTTTTACTTGAGGGGGGTTGATATAAGAAATTACAAAAATCACAAAACATTGTTTTTCAGACCAATTGTATTAATTTTTCATTACATTGTTCGGTCTTTTAAATAATAATATACGATCTAAATTGGGTTTTGATACATTCCTATGAAATAAAGAGGTGTCATAAAGACGCTATAGATTTTCGGCGAGTTCGAATGGGACGTTTAAATGCATGAGAGTGAAATAAAATGATTAGGGTCCCTGAAATACCATGTCGCAGGCATCCTGCACAGTATTTCAGGCGGTATCATTATACTGACAACGGGAACAAAGCTCAGTGAGAATCATTTTGAAAATATATTTGTCGCCAAATTAAACTGATATTCCGTTTAATCTGTTAACGTTTGGGAATAAAGTTTTTGATATATGAAGGTTGACCAGCTTTTGATCGCTGATCGTTGTTGTTAAGATAGTTATAAACCATTTACTCCTAACTTTGTAACCAACTCAATCGTTTTTGAGTATATCTTCTTGACATTGTATGCAGTAATTATGCATGTTTTTAAAAACAAAAACAAAAAATGTTTTCTAAACAATAACATTTGTTGAAATGAAATGAAATGCTTTTAAAAACCAAAATATAAAGCATTTGGAAAGAATTTTTCGTTTCCATAGAAATCAAAGACCATCAATAGACTAAAAAAAAATTCAAAAAACCTTTTAAAATACATATATGTATATATTTGTTAAATGCTACTATTAACATAAACAGCTTTGTGAATCATGAATTATATACATGTATTATATTTTAATGTTAAAGCATATGTTACATTAAACCAAACATAAGTCCTAGATCAACTTGTGAAGACATGAACATGACTATAATGAATACTTGTTATTCGATTGCGTGGCTACAGGATTTAAATTGATAAAACATGATAGCAGAGATACGCTGGCAGACAAAGGCGCGACAAAATTATATCACTCATACATATGAGAGCCGGACCATTATTCTGTTGTTTACATCACTAATTTCTTGTTAAATCTACGCTATTTTACTTATTTCATACACAAGTATATGCTGCTGGCCTTTTTAGGGTATTAGACCGACATACAATTATTCCCAGTAATGTTGCAGAAACGTATTCAATTCACAAATGTCATAGTCGGTATGGCAGGGGGTAATCTCCTAGCTGCTAATAATCAACAGGTCATTGGATCAAACCTCCATGCTAGAGAGTTAATGAAACAGTAAACGTATTCCTAATATATCTTCACGATAGCATATTGTTAACATTCTTATCAGCACAAGTGGATTTTAGCACATAATCGAATTTTAATAGAATAGCGCATTGATGAGTTGGCGCATCAAGAAAATATGCCATATAAAACAATAAACAATATCTGTACTCGGTGCATGTATGATTTAGTAAAATATTTAAAGCGTGAAAAACGCTATAATAAGAATACCTCTAAAATATGAACGCCTACAGTATATGTCTTTGTTATTGTAAATGGACAAGCAATCGCATGCAAGAACAATGCCGAATAAATTACATATTGCATTTTATTTAGTTAAAGATGCAACAGAGAAAAACAGCTGGTCTCTATATATTTTCATATCAGAGTATACTGATCAAAAACTCTCTGCTCTATCAAAATTTAAAGTTTGTAAGATCTTGATTAAAGTGGATGTTTACCAACCTTGAGTTTATACGCCATGTGGATCCCAGAGGGTCCTGCCCCAATAATTGCTATTCGGTCATGCTTAGATTTAGGTCCTTTGATCTTTGGGAATGATGTTGGAGCACACATCCCTTCCGAGTTCTTGTTTTGTTCTGTATAAAAACACAAGTGATAAAAGTTAGCGGTTTTTGCCTCGAAATAAACTCTGCTATACGAACATACAATCCTATTTATTATTAAAACAATATTTTCAAATCGAATTAACTTACTAAGGAGCCTAATATTAAGTGGATATTTACGATACTGCCGATGCGGTCAGGGTTTTACTATGTTTATTTTCAAGAACTAAATATATTATCATTCAACATCAATTTCACCTATTTCAGTTTAGAATGTAATACAAACTAAATGTATGGATAAACTTGCACTACAGGGAGCTGGAGAAAAGGAAATTGGATTATGTGAGGTAACCTCTTCAGACACAATAGTTGTTCTAGATAAATACCGTTTGTGATAAAAGGGATAAGGCTATAACGCAATGAGATGTCAGTTATACCGAAATAAATGCTTCATGATATGGAGTAAAGTTTGGTGAAAAAAATGGGTAGTGATATAAGATTGAACTATATACATTTGACTTATAAGCTATTTCAAGGACAAAAGAATAATTTTCGAATTGTATCTCGGGCCGATGACCACAAGAAAAAAACACTATTATCAAATAAGAAAACAACGAACTGTAAATAACAATATGGCGGTAAGTAACAGACCAGAGGTATGTTGTCTAAACCTCTGCATGGCCTCTTGTCTTTGTTACAACGGCATGTATCACACAAACATTGCAATGAAGGATAGGAATGTATGGTTGCGTCTTTTGTTAAGGGCATCAAGGTAACAGCGGAAAAAAGGAATATATATATATATATGTAAACAAAAAGATTCACAACACATCTCTAGACAAACTGTTACTATCACGACTTGAGAACAAAATCTAAAGAAAGTAAAAACAACATGAATCTTATAATTAAAGGATGACATATACATTTCTGTATGAACTGCTTATTCTGTCGTCAGAATTTAATTTGTCTTATATAGTGTTTAGAGGCACTGATGATAGATCCTAAATATACAAAATGACAAAATGATGCTGTACATCCTCACTGTGTTATTGTCTACTTATTTCTTTTTATTAAAAAGGATCTATATGCTCTTTAACAGGCTATTTAGTTGCACAATGGTTCTCGCTGCTTGTTTATGTGTCGTTGTTAACCAATCAAGTCAATTAGGTACATTTATAATTAATAATAAAGAATAGACCCACCTTCTGACTTGTAAGATAGTAGGTACTAATAGAGAGCAGCACTTTGGTCAACAGTATAATTGAGGTCAAATCTTATCATTTATGTAACACCGGGAATTGATTAACGGTGGACTGGAATTGTAGACAATCCCGTAGGGCTATCCATCTAGTGGCGACCGGGTCAGTCAAGGATGACGTAGAGATGGGAACGAGGGTGTGAACTCCCAAAACAGATACTGTCATTGTCATATGGTACATCTAGCATTGTTGTTTTGGAAGGGAAAAGTCAGCTTAGAAGTCAGATTAGAAGTTAGATCAGAGGTTATATCAAATTGCTGCACGTGCCTCATTACTTACAAATGTATATACAATAGGTGGTACAAAATGTACCTACTCATGAAAAGTTATTTTTTTATATATTGTTAAAGTATTTGGGGAGAATTTCATAGGTAGTCTGGGCGTTTGGAATTGGGAGTCTAGAGTGAAGAGTCGGGATTCGAGGTTCGAGAATGTGAGCCCCTGGGGAGGGTCTCGGCCGGAGGATCCAGGGGTAGCCCAGGAACAGCACTTGGTGTGATTTAGAAATATGTGTTTGATGTTGTAACTCTATGTAATCTGTGTACAGGTATATTTGCTGTCGTGTTCCAGAAATATATTACAAAAATGGCATTCAGTAGATTTAAGACTGTCGCGGCCACAATGTGAAGTTAAAAAAAAAGAGTCAAAGTCCACATGTGTTGTCAGCGTGTTATGAAATATAAGATAATGGCACTACAACATAGTTTGTCAGATAAAATGCATTTTTTTTCAAACTCGAATAACAGATTGATCAACAGTTTGTTTCCCTTTAGTAGGGCGAAGGACATCAGAGCTGATAAATTGTACATCAAGTGTAACGTTGTAAATGTGATATTATAAAGTACGTCAAAATGTGCCAAAGGAATAATATTATATATCGACTTGTATCAAAAGTGAAAAACATTGTCTCCTCTGAGGAACTTTAATGTGTCGTAGCTTCAGGAAAGAAAGGCATGTCAGACAGTCAATTAAATAATTGTGACGACTTAGGGGGTAATATCACAGTAATTGAACATTAAATCAAGACTGTATGACATCTCATTAATAATGATATGGATATTGACATTTTTCATCTTTAGGCGATGGTATGAGGAAAAAGTCAACAATCTGTTGTTATTGTTTTCTATAATAACAAAACATTTCGAATAACAAATTATCTATTGTGATTAGACAATGCACTTTTAAACCTGGATAGTTAGTACATGTATAACAATGTCTTTTCAGTTTTCGCATATCGTCATTTATTAAAACATTAATTGAAACCGGATTATCAAATTTGTTGTCTTAATATAATAAAGATAAAAACTGACCGATCGCAAGCGTGGTCCAAGGTGTGCATCATACAAGGAGTGCTGACCTGATTCATTACATCCTTCCTTATTGATATAAAACTCGTGTAAATGTGCACGCGCTAGTCAGCCGTGATAATTGATTTTATGTGTCTATGTTCCTGGATCGTAAAGGTGGTGCTATTACATCATGGGATACGTTCTTGGACTTGTAACTGCTACTATGTATTAACCGTAATTACCATGTTATGGATGTGTAACCATGATAATATAGAACAAATCGATTCACATTATCTCCACATCTGAGGGGAGGCTATCACTTACAGGAAATTAAATACACTAGCCATGTAATTGTACAGTTTTCACTAATAAGTACATCTATCTGATATCTAAATTGTGAATGTTCCTTTTGGCATGGTTCCAAAGGCAAATTCCGATATAGATTTCTCTGAACTTTCAAAAAATAACGTTAGCACTTTTAACTATGTGTATACAATCATGATGGATTGTTGCCTTTATGAATAAACATACAGGAATTGTGTGTATGATACATAGAGGAAGTAAGCCTATTAATAGAAGATAATTTGCAGCGTACACTGTCTGCACGACAGTAGGGTTATATGATATCATAATTATATGATGTTCTGATTTCACGTACAAAATCTGTAATTACTAGGGTTATAACATTGACTTCGTTGTTATGGACAGCTAAAACATGGGAAACATAGAGTTGGCCAAAGTATTTAAATAAATGTTCAAAGTACATATTGGAGGCAGGAAATATTGTAAAGGCACTAATGTATAGTCCTCATCATAATATAAAATGCATTGTTAGCAACGGTAATGATGAAGAATGAAAATAAAAAGTGGAAATGAGATGCAATTATATAGGAGTTTATGTATTTGTGTATAAGGTGAACAAATATAGGATCAACCGTATACATTTGATATTAATATAAGTATTAAAATCTGCCCCCCCCCCCCTTCCCCACATACACATATAACATACCATACCATTGAAGCAAGTGTGGCGATATAGGTTAAAGGCAGTTTCGAGATTCTTTTAAAACGCCGACCAAATATATTATAAAACTGTTAAGTTTATTTACATACCAAACATATGATAGAGCGTTTTTATAGCTAGGCACGAGTGCCAACTCTCTTCGTACACTTCAATTGAGCTGTTGTAAATATACAGTCACCTGTGACGACGAATGAAAGAGATACAGGCCAAGTATGTCAACATGGTGTATTTTGAACGCCAGCTTACGTGTTTATGACGAATTTATACCACTGATCAAATATTAAGTACTAAAGTATCATTATTCAAGTGAGTATTGGTCCTTTCTTCTCATCAATGACACCGAACACCTCGAATGTATCCTGCCTCGTTCTATGTACCACAGATGTAATATACAGAGTATCGTTATTGGAGTAATCTGTGATCCTTTCTATTTATCAATAACATCGAATACCTCTTATAAGACTCCCTGTAATTCAAGTGAAATGAAGCATCTTACTAACCGGGTTTGTTGTGTTGTGATATTCCTTTCACTTGACATTCTCCTTCTGCTGTAGACTAACTATACAGTAAAAAGTCCCAATATAGCATGACCACGTACTCATGTGAAATAGAAACTATGTCATAAACTGGCACGCGTGTGAAGATCCTTTTTTGTGTTCTCTTTTTGCAGATCTATATCTATATCTATATATATGTATAGAATACAACGTAAATTCTACCGCTAGGTCTTTCTGCCTTCTAGGGCTTCTTCAGGAGACTTACATATTTATTTTTTTATTCTATATTTTCCTTCGCAAAGACTTGTTTATTTATTATCTATTAAATATATATACATACCTATTGATACATACAATATGTATATTGTATACATATGTGTGTGTGTGTGTGTGAGAGAGTGAGTGTGTGTGTGTGTGCGTGTGTGTGTGTGTGTGTGTGTGTGTGTGTGTGTGTGTGAATGTATTCCTTTTCGTGATAAGTTCATGTATAAATGTTATTTTCCATAGTCTTGTGTATGTGGTCATGTTTTTTCTTCGTTGGTTGGAAAATTCATGTATGATTTTTAATAGATTTGTACATATGTAAATGTCATATTTTCACAACTTTATGCATCTGCTATCACACTTACCTAATACTTGCCTTGTGTCATCAAGAGCGGATAATCCAAAAACATTAACAATCTGAAAATAGTAAAAGAAAAATATATATATAAAAAATTATATAAACATGAACAGGAAATACAGTAAAATGTTCAATTATTACTACTTTTACACATAACGCCACATTGCGGTGCACTAGAGATATTCTATGTAGTACTAAATACACTATGTGTTATTTTAACCGTACTCACCTGAACACCGCACACTGTTAGAACACATATAGCCGCTGCACGTACTGTCGCCATAGTGCTACTGTACGTACCTTTGCTATACATAAACTGATCTTCCCTGACTAGTATGCGCTTTATTTATACCAGGCCCACTAGTTCGCCCACGTAGGTAAAGGGCGAGTCCTATTTTGCGAAAATAAGAAGACTGGCATTAAACATTTTGTATTTTGATGTCTTTCTGTAAGCGATATATTGTGTCTAAATTTTTCAAAATCATAAATCTTTAATTTGAAATGTTCACTCATAAATACGTATTACCTGTAATGGGGCTTCGGTACGTGACAGCATATACTTATAGTACATCTATAAGCTTGAACAAACAGTGACCTAGTAAATATTTTGTGAAATGGGATTGTATGTGATATAACAACCGATTTTTCGAAGTTACACAGATTCGATGAGAGACCTGATACTCAAGATTCAAAGCACGGTTGTGTCATATCACTAACAGATTCTTCATTATTTGTTTTTGATTTTTTGTTCTTGTTTATTTTATTTCTGTTTTCGAATTCATTTCCTTATTTCATTGATATTAAATTACTACGAAATCAAATGTTTTCGTGGGGCCAAACGTTTGTGGTTTCTCGACAGAATACCATTTTGTAAGTACATTCATTCGTGGATTACGAGCAGGCGCGTAGCTAGCCCCTTTACCATGTGTAAGCCCCGACATGGGGTTGCCGAAGGCAGCCCCCCCCCCTCCCGAAGCGCGAGCAGGGGGAGGGTACGGGAGTGGGTCTTCCCCCTCCCGTAAGGGGGATCTGGGGGGTCTCCCCCATGAAAATTTTGTTGGAAAATAAGTCCAGAACAAATCAGTGAATACAAAGAAAAAAATACTTAATTTTTGCGACGTAAAAATATTATTTTTGTGGGTTATCAATAGTGACGTCACTTGGCACAATAACAGTTGCATTCGGGGTGGCCGAATGTGCCCCGGCAAAAGGGGCCGAACGTGCCCCAAATTGATATTTTCATAAAAACAAACACATTGATTGTCTGTGTCCACTGTGCCATACTCGGAGTCGTTTGCGCCAGGCGTGAGTTTCTCAATTTACTCAATCGAGCAGTTTAGTTCCGCCTGGAACTGTCCATTAATGCAATGGACATTTCTAAACTTCATACATTTTTGTACTAACTATTAACACTGTATCATATCTGAGGAATTACATATGTATACTATATATTCAAAACTTAAACTCCACTTTATAGTATCAACAAGAAAAAATAACGTCATGAAAACCTATACTTGTCAAAATCATGTGCAAGCCCGGGCTTATTGGCTTACATGGTAGCTACGCGCCTGACGAGTACCCACTCACAAAGAACTGCGTGGATAAAAAATAACCTACGAAATAAACGAAATTAAAAACACTAAAAAAATAATGATTTCACGATAGGTGCAGCATCGTTTATAGTCAAATGGTCAAGTAATCCTGATCAGATCCTCAAAGATTTCGTGGTATTTATTTTTCAAGAGTCATTTAAGGTCGCTATCGTAGCAAACAGAAGAAATATATTTTAAAAAATCCCTTTATATACGGATGACCACTTGACCTTTGGTTTTGTTATCATCCTTGATTGGCATTTTCTAGTTTTCCCCTTATTTTGACACTGTATTGTACCCGTTTTTAGATCAGAAAGGAAACAGTCGGAGTCGCAGATAAAAAAAAATCGGTAATAACAGACCATGCCACACAGAAAACCATGTGATTGATTTGGAATACTCCAAAAGTTTGGACAGAGAGAGCAATCTGTTCAAGCGGCAGATAAAGGAAGCCGCTGGATACGCCGCAGTGGGCCAGTTCTAAATCGAAATGAGGGGGCTCAAAGACTCTCGCACATCTATGACCAAGTATTAAAAAATGCGAAGCTGAATTGAATAATTTTGGTACATATATAAAAACAGTTTTACAAACGCTGACAGCTTAGCCGAATCGACATCGATTTGTGGACAACTCGTATATATTTTACACCTTTGCGTGCATACGCTTCGCTGGTCAATTGTCTGATGAAGGTGATAGTGTACATATCGTACTAATCATCGTACGTTACATAGGAAATTGTATTGTTTATGTAACTTTTCTTAATCCATACTTACTAAAACGAAGAAAATGTTTAGAAATTCTGAACAGCAGTTTAATGAACGGAGGTCCAGTGTTCGAATCCTGGTCTGGCCTCTAGCACTTTCACGATCAAAACCTTTTTTTTCAAAAAAAATGTGCAAGGTATATACGATTCATTCAGAAAGCATTTAATGCTTCTGTAACTGCATGATGACAGCGGTTGGCAGTGGTACAGGGATTCCTTACTGCTTTAGTCGTTCAACTTGTAATTTGTCATGTTTTTGTTGTGTATGTGTATTCCCGTGGAATGTTGTTTAATACATTGTGTATGCCAATGCCGATGTCGAAGATGCGAGACAATAGTTTTATGATAAACCTGTTACCGAAGTTGTGACACATGTTACGAGGATCTGCTGCTGTATTTATTATCCACTAAATTCAATGTGATTTGTCATGTCTCTGGTATGCATATGTGTATACCCGTGGAATGTCTACTAATACATGATGTATGCCAAGTACCGGATGATGTAAAATAACACAATAGTTAGATGATAGACCTGCTACCAAAGCTGTGACATGTTTTACTCACGAATCAGTCTCCCATAAATAAATCCTTGATAATTGACATAAACCAGATTGTGTCATACCATTTTTTCTCTGGGCGGACCTACGGTTACCGGAAATAGGGGTCGGGGTCACTTGTAGCAAGTGCTAGAAAATATTTTCGAAGGTAGCAGTCGAGTAGCGAAGCGACGAGGTTGGGAGAGGATTCATGAATTAGTTTGATATCTCTGTTATCTATTTCATTTCCGACATGTTCAGATATTTGATATTTGTTTAAAAAACAAATGTCCGCGTTTCCAGCAAAACTCAATGACGACAGGATAATCACGATATACCGGCGCAAATTTCTAAATTTGGTTATGTTATCCCCTAATTAGTTGACTTTATCAGGAGGTCATTTACTAAGAAATTGTACATAGCCGTGGTGTGTTCTCCTTTCTCCCACTTTTTAAAAAACCCATAGAGGCAGTAATGTTGTGATAGCAGTTATAGTCTGTTTCATATGTATTTTACCTGGTTTTTACCTGTGTTCTCCCACATTATCTGTATCATGTATATGCAGTACTGTCATATACATATACATGTCCGTTGGGACGAGATGGCTGTGGCTCGTTAGACACAATATATTTTCTCAAGTGAGTACTTTGGGGATATTGATTATTGATATTGGTCTATATTAAGTTTCTTTGAAGAATGATATTGGTCTATAATTAGTTTGTTTGAAGAAAAAAATTGATTTTTTGATTAGCACTGAGAGAAAATGTTATTTTGTTTGTTTGTTTTTATTAAGTAAATTTAAATTAAATTTATTTTTTCCAAAAATAAAATTACTTTCATCTCACTTACAGACACAAAGAGATACAGAAACTGTTACAACTACAGATGTATTGAAACAAGATAAAGGACAGCGGATTTGAGAGGGGGAGGGGATAAGATGACAGAGGAATGGGGGGATTGGTGGTACACAGCCTGAAAAGCATGTAACAATCTTTAAAACTATCGTTGCTTGCCAAAAAAAAAATCAAAACTTATCAACATCTTATTGGTTCAATAAAGGTAACAGCATGAAATTTGCATGAGCCTCGGTTATCTCAGGTCAAATCTTCTGTTGATGAAATAGCATTCTTAACTGCAAGCGTTTAGCGCATTTAAGCTATGTTTCTTCCTTTCTGTTAACATTTGATTCAATTTCAGCTTACTTATTAAAATAGATGTCGAATGGTCATATTCTCCATGGGGTGCGGTGGTATTTGGTCCTTGACTATTTTCTATTTTATGCTATCCAAAATTAACTCACCCTTTGATTTTGTGATATAATCATGTTGTTTTTTGAATGCAATTTCAATCTGATTAAAATCAGACCCCTCAAGACGCCTAGTTATAATTATCTACGCCGAGAAAGACTCAGCGTTGGTAACGAGGTGGTCTTGAAAGGTCTGATTTTAATCTGTTTGTTTGAAAGTTTTACATATAAGTGCATTAAGTCACGTGGCAGGTTGATTACTTTCCTTAAGGATCCCTGTCCCACTGCAGGTGAAGAACTAGGAGTTCCATTATATAGGTTTTCATACTAGCAGTAAACTCCTCTTTATTTCAAATCCGCAATAAATGTAGAGGAATGGGACAGGGCCCTACCTCTGGTCATTTAGCTAAATTGGTCCGAGTGATCGTAATTTGTGATCGGAGGTCGAGGATTCTAATGTCGGCTTAGCCCTAGAAAAGTAGTTCTCTTAGGACACTTTGGTATCTGGTTGATTGTTTCTTTCATCTGTATGATTTGTTTTTCATAAAACGTCCCGTAATTTTTTTATGTATTTTAGAAATGCTGCATTAAAGTATAAAACTGGTTTCATAATTGTTTTAATATAAATTAGGATTATATGTTTTACTCAAGTTAATATAACGCCGGTAAATGCTTTCAAATCTTGGTTATACTTTAAGCATTGGTGCGGTATCTTTAAAATATCATCATTTTAAAATACTACTTTCTTTCAAATAATTTAGACATGTGATATTTTAAATATCAAACATTATTCATTCTAGTTTTACCGGACATATGACAAGACAAAATTTTAATTTCAAATTACTCCGGTTTAACTTATAGTGACGTAGACGAGAATATATTGGCTATATTATGGTATTGATGTGACAGGATATATAGATATAGATCTATGAATGAGTCCATTATACGGCGGATTAATGCTTCTACGATATACGATAATGTGTATGTGGAATTTCACTAATCACCTTGAGCTGCCGCATTAAATATTAACTGATGCGAGACATCGGACGCCGTCATCCGTATAACGGTGTTATGAACACACCTGCCACACCCGGCACTCCGCTCCTATTCATATCAGTAAGCTCGTGACGTCATTATTGGACCACTGTTCGTGATGATAGGATAAATAATATACTTG